CACAGCTCCTTGTGCCCCTACCATCACCACATGCGTTGCCACACCCTGTACCACACCCGCCAGCATCCTCCTCCTCCTCCTCCGTGCCGGTGCCTCCACTACAGACGCTAACTTGCAGCACATCAACGGGTAATATTGGGCCAGCAACCGCTCAAAGACCAACAGCCCCAGATGATCTTGGGGTTAATAAACCCAACAGGTGAAACTGGATCGTTATCCAGGGAGATTGTTTTCAGGAAAGAAGCGCACTTTTGCCGCTGCATGGTACACAACAGACCATGGCTTGAATATTCGTTAAAAGCATACGCAGCCTGTTGTTTCCCCTGTAGACAGTTTAAAGTAAATACGTCTTCATCTGATGCGGCTATTACTGTCAAAGGTTTTTGCGACTGGAAACACGCATTACAGACTGATAAAGGACTGCTAAGGCATGCCGCATCAAAAGAACACATTTCATGTGAGAGTTTGTGGAGAGAGAGAGAGAGAGAGATACGCGAGGAAACACATAAGGAAATTAGTACTTTGGTGCAGATCAGCTGGCACGGAACCGTTATTACGCGTCAGCTGTCGTTGATATTCTAGCTTTTTTAGCTGTCAACCAACTCCCTCTCAGAGGTGACCACGATTCACTCCACAGCATGTCCGAGTCAGGCAGTGAGCTCTTTCTATCGCTGTTTGAGTATACGCTGCACAAAGATGCAGAGTTGGCCAAAATAATGGACAGCATTCCCCACACAGCAACACACACCTCTCACGACATGCACAATGCCATAATAGAGCTAACAGCAGTTCATCGTCTCCGTCTCTACTATTTCTCTCCGAGTGCAACGATGAGGAAGCTGCCATCCTTAACCAGTGTGCCTTGCTCGTGATTTACCAGTGTTTGTGCTGCCACGCACACAATGTTTCAAAAGTGGTTTCTATGTTGCCCTTTATTTGTGTATGTATTTGCGATAAGTGTGCGTCTTTGCGCAATGCTGTTGGCCTTGCTGTCTGATATTGTGCTGCAGGCCCGCAGCACGTGACGGTTTTGTGTGCCCTCCCATGAAAATCATATGCCCTCCCTTTAGATTTGTTCTAGCACCGGGTCTACTACTTGTATATTACTTTCGAGTTACTTTACCAAAATAACTGCAAAAGAATGGCTAGGTATTTTAGATGCTAAAATGTAGTTTAGTGCAGTTCATTATACATCCAGTGAAGGGCGATGTGGTATAGCATAACAACTGTGTAGGCCATTAAGGCTACTAACAACTTTTATTACACGGCTTGGTCAGGGTTAGAGTTATAAACTGAGCTCTATGGAGAGGTCTTTAAAACTAACGCCCACCACCCGCTCAAGTGAGAAAAAGGGCACTTCCCATAATCAAAAATGTTAAAACAAAAAGTTACATATAGTTGCACATCTCTGACTTACTGACCAATTTATTTTAATACCCTCACACTCAAGCAATTGTTTAATTCTCAACAGAATTCTACAAAATAATCAGCTAACACAGAGACAATGGTCTTCTTTAGTATTCACTACGCACAAGAGCAGACAACAAACTAGTCAAATTCATAGTTATTAAATGAGCAGCCAACAAGCAAAATGATGAAGTTACTGTTTAAGGACATTACAGGCTAAAAGATCGTTGTTTCAAGTATTTGTGCATTTTGTTCTTTTGGACTATTTCACTTCCATGTTTTCTTTCACTCTAATGGAAAGAAAACTTCCAAGAAACACATATAAATGGTGTTCGTCTTACTACCATGTCTGAATTAATCTATAGATTTAAAGCTAATCTGCATTTAAACATAACATTTCAGGGGAAAATACTGACTTGACGTAAGTAACTATCTGGGGAAGTTGTGAGGTGATATGTTTTTTGTTTTGTTTTTTTGTTTTATCCTTTTCACCTGCAATGCCTATATTTTTTTTTGTCTTTTAGATAATTAGCTGTAAACTCAAGGCACTGGCAGTTTAGTCATTTGTTCATCACCACTCACTTTCAAACAAGCCAAGAAAAGCCGGCATAACATGGGACAGTAAAGTGGGAGGTGCTGCCACCTGTCTGTCTGAAGTGACTGCCGATGTCTGCACCGCTGTGCGCGAGACGTGGAGGGAGGGTAGAGAGAGAGCGCAGAGAGAGAGAGAGAGAGAGAGAGAGAGAGAGAGAGAGAGAGAGAGAGAGAGAGAGAGAGAGATAGATAGAGAGAGAGAGCGCGCATCGGAACTTCACATTGTTATCTACCTGATTTTTTATTTAAAACAAAAAAGGGCACTTTCTCTGGGGGCAGGGGCTCAAGCCCACTTTGATGTCTATGTGGTGCAGTGGGTTGAGCGTTGGTGTTCGGATCAGGGGGTTACAGGTTCAAACCCCACTGCAGTCAGCATGTCGTTGTGTCCCTGGGCAAGACACTTCACCCCAAATTGCTCCTGTGGGGATTGCCCATAGTGTTGAGTATGTAAGTCGCTTTGGATAAAAGCGACTAACAATTGACATGTAATGTATGTGTGCACGTGCCTGCTGATCAGGGAACCCGACGCAAAGCGGGGGGATCTTGATGAGCCCGAAGGGTAAACACCAGGCTTACTAATATACCCGCACAATTTTTCTCTGGTGTCGGAATGTCTCGAGATGTTAGTGAATTCTTAAAAAACAAAACACCATTTCATTTCGGGTTAAAATGTGTTGTAATTGCGTTACTGAGAATTGTAACGGGTAGTATATTACCCACATTTCATTAGTAATGCGTTACATTACTTCGTTACAGCAAAAAGTAATACATTACTGTAACTCCGTTACTTTTGTAACGCGTTCCACCCAACACTGCATCCTGGGTCAGTGGAGTGGTACTTGGCCTCTTCTGACTTTGGGGGTAAGTCATAAAAGAATGTTGGGAACCTCCAAAACAAATGAAAAACATAAACTAATACAGACTATAGAAGTTGTCTCAAAAATGTTTCTGTTTTCCTTAGAGCCAGAGTGTGAAAAACAAACACCCTTGAAGGCTATTTTCCCTTGTCACTCCTCCAGGTTTAGCCAGCAGTCAGTGTCTATATTGCCTGGGTAGCTGCACTACCTGATAAGCGGAGGTAGAGGCTCTCTGACACATCTGTCTGCTTGATGAGCCAAGTGTCAAAGCCCCCCAAAGTGCTGGATGGAGTGCATCAATAAACGACTTTAATCCCCTCCTGGGGCCAATGTCCTCCAGCTAATAAGGGATCGCCTTACACCACTGGCAGTGAAGAGAGGTAAAAGTGGTTTGGCATGGGCTTCAGCACGGGGATACACAGTACGCAGGGAATTGACGGTACACAGGTAACAGCCTGTAAATCACACGCGCCTCCTGTTGGCTTAATTGCTGCATTGGATAGGTGTTTTGTTTTCTCCTCCTTTAGAAACTTTCTCTGTTGCCCTTTGTATTCTCTTTAAAGTGTACTTCTATGTGTCATCCTCTACAGCTTTTTGTATTACTCCTTTCCCCACCTCCACTATGTATCCAACTTTGCCCCAGACAGTCTGCCAGACAGAAGAGGAGCAGCAGAGGGACGGGGACGGATATCTGGGCAGTATGGGTAGCGCTGAAGGACGTGTGGGTTGCTAGCATCCGCAGGGAAGATCCAATGAGTGTTCTAGTCAGAGTGACCCTAATTAACCACATATTATCTGCAGGCAGTGTGGAAGATTAAGGCCCTCAGCTGTGGACCCTACAGGCCTGGAGACCCAGAGACAGAGGACTCTGCGCTAAAGCACACTTCATATTCTGCCTCGGAGCAAGACAGGGAGAGGTGGGGGCGTGAGGCTGGGCTAGGAAAAAATAACCACTCAGAGAAGATAACATAATGCAGAAGACCGCTTGCTTGAAGCAGATCAGAATCTTTCTTTAATGAGCAGATAAACATAGCAATCCCAAACAGTTAAGCAGGGCTGCAAGTAACTATTATTTTCGCTATATTGATTAATCTGCTTATTAGTTTCTAAATCAATCAGTTCATCGTTTAGTCTATAAAATGATGGATAATAATAAAAAACTTCCATCCATTCCAAGAAAAAGTCTTTACATTTCTCATTTTGTCAACCCAAATCCCAGATATATTCGGCTTAATATGATATAAAACCAAATTTGAGGAAATTTCTGCTTTAAAAAAAATGGTGGATTATCAAAATAATTGTCGATCCACTAATCGATTGTGTCTGCAGCTCTACTGCTATGAAGGAATAAAGGAATAAAGAAATATGCAGACAGCCTTTTTTTTTTTTGCACCCCCACAAAAAGGCGGACATATTGTGTCTTTGTCTGTCATATCCTGAACACATCCACCCCCCCTGCCCAGTTGCTGTGAACAGAATTGAAGTTACCGGAGGAGGAGGGGAGCCTTCCTCTATTGAGACATAATGAGCTTATTTTCTCGTTTGACATTAGAACACCTAGAAATGAACACTTGGACATGTAGACAGGTCATCATCACGAGCGCGGCACGCTGGTGCATAAAACCAACGTCTATTATCAACAAGGCAATGCAATCTGGGGACTACACAAAACCCCTCATTGACGGAACACAATAAGCAGCCCCCACAGGCAGACAGAGACTCTGAATCCTGCAGGAAACATTTTAGTTGCAGCTGTGACATACCTCATTTCAGATGAAAGACGAGCCAATATCAACAACATGATTACACAGAAGATTAACTGACGCCAACCAGACAACTTCTTAAAAAAAAGCCCAATCCAAAGGCTATAGCTCATAAAATACGGCGTTTCTTAGAGTGTTATTACAAGTGTTACGAGCTGCTGGTGAATATATTTCACATTTACATAACACCAAACTATTATATAAAACAGTAAGTGCAGTGTTAACAGTTCAAGTATTTACAGGGCTTTCATAAAGTATTACATGGTAAATCTATCCTCTGCTAACCCCTCTGCTATTCTGAGCCGCTGTAACACTTCCTGTGGTTCCACACTGTAATTCAAGCTTCAAGGCCTGACTCCAGGCGCGTGCTGTCACCTACCTCGGTCGGTGTCGTAGAGGTAGACGAACTTCTGCCACTTGTAGTGAGAGAGCAGGCTGAGGACGGCGCCGCGGAGGGGAGGGCGCATCTGGATGACAAACTGCACCTCATTATCGGTGGGGTAACTGGGTGTGACGAAGGAGGTGTGCAGGGCGCCGCAGAAGGAGGTCAGGGTGTTCATGGACTTCTTGTCGTAGAATCCGAAGATGGCGTACACTCCGCGGGAGAACTGGGAGCAAACTGCAGGGACAGCAGAGGACAAGAGGACAGGGTGGTTAAGACATTACTCAGCAACATGTGAGTTTGCTCAAAAGACTGACTCACCTCAGCACTTCTCTCAGTGATTCAGTGAGGTAGGGTAATCTTGGAATGATTTCCTTGGTCAGAACATTCATTATTCTGTTTGTTAAATGCAAAAAAATTGTATAATATGAGTATAATAATTACTAAAGGGGTGATATATTCAAATTGTTTGTTTTATTTGACAATCAAGTCCATATTACGTCATTCTTTTTTGTTGAAAGGGGGAAATTAACCAGATTTCTAACAACCGTCTGACTATGTCATCAATATCATTGCTCTTTGTTATTCTTAAACAGATGGTTCCTTATTTCATTTTAAAACTGGGATGATTGGGAAATTCCTTGGCGTGTCTGAAAAAATAACCCTAATGATGATATCTCGGTTTTACAATAAATGATAACAGAAGTCCTGTGACACCAAGAAGGGGGATGAAGTTAAAAAGATGTGGAGGCAAGAAAAATCAAATGAAAGACCCAATTGAGTTGCATTATTAGAGATGTGAAATCCACTGTATTTAGAGTTGGATCCAAGTCATCGGTATATTTTGAGTCACATTACTCCGTGGAAGTGCAATACTATCATTGGCCAGTTCATTCAAATAATCCAAGATGCTTGTGAAAAAAATGTTGTTACACTTCTATACGATTATTGATCATAGTGATCACAACATATAATCCCATTTTCATCTGGTACCAACAATTTGAATAAAGAAATGCATGTTAATACACAATAAACACACTCAGAAGGTGAACAGATCTGGTGTCAGTGACAGCATTGCGACAGGAGGTCAGCAATCATCCTGCGGCTGTAAATTGGTAGAATGTGTTTCTGTTTAAGTTGGAAAGTGGCAGCCAATGTATTGAAACGTCACGCCATTAACTGAGGGTCTCCAGCTCCCACCAGGGGCTCCCATCAGTTATCTCTGTTCCTTCACCCACCGTGAACGACTCACTGAAGCATTCATAGCAGATGTGAGCGCCACCGCAGCCTGTCACCGCTTCTGGTGCCTCCTACGAAAAGAGTTGAAAAACACAACTCTTTCTGACTCTAGTGAAAAGTGAATTCAGTTTTCCATTCAATGGCCTGGGACATTTGTGTTTGCTGGTGCCAAGATGTCAGGAACAGATACATACTTGGTGTCTGTGCAAATATAGGAGATAAACCTACCTATAAATATCACATTTTTACGACTGGATTGACCCCTTCTTTGAGGAAAAAACAACCCTATTTACATGCTGCACAAAAACCAGACTGTGGTTAGTAAAATAACAATCTGACGCAAGCAAAAGGTAAAAGAATATAAACAGTTACCCCATCATTTGAATGCTTTTCACTTCAACAAATCTATGACAACCACTTCGGGGAATGTACTTCCTAATAATACAAGCATTTTATTTCTCCTATCAGAGCGTGCATCTGATGACATTTCTTGAAAGGCGAAAAAACATTTCCATTTGTTTGTGTATTCATCATGCGCTCTAGTGGGACCCCGTAAGTCAGGCAAGAACGACTTCCATTCAGTCAGAAGCCATTAATGTGTAAACTAACATTCAGAGCTACAGGTGTTTTGCTTCCCCACCCTATCATGAATGGCTGCTCACTTATTCTGATTGACTCTCAAGTGCTCCCACTGTGTAATCAAGCATTCTTAACATCCGTAAACACTCTCAATATTCCACTACAATGGTTGGGTGACGGGAGGGAGGGCACTATTCAAACTTATGTAATGTCTGTGTTAAATATTTGCTTACCAATAGCTGACGGGCATTCATTCAAAAGGTATGATTGGAGACATCAGACAAAGCTTAGAACTATGATCTTGTTTGAATAATGCAATAAATAAGCTGTTTTGGCTTTCTTAGGGTCATTGATGGTAAACTGACCTACATTAAATGTTGTATTTTGTGTGTTTTACCTTAGAAACCAAAGAGGAAATCGCAAGAACGAGAGCCATGACCTCCAATTACGCTAAATCCACATATTTTACAGTATTACTAAAGTATAAAAATATATATATTTACATATAAAATGCGAAAAAGTCAATTAATATCTGCTCAATGATTCAGATGCACTGACAAATGTATGTAGTTCTTTGTTGGCCCTACCTTCACCAAGATTTATAAAAATTGAGGCAGTATTTTTTCCATAATCCTTCTGACAAACAGATAAACCAAGAGAAGCATAAACATTACCTCCTTGGAGGGGGTTATAATCCATTTCCCCCCCCCCCTGTCCGAGCAAATCTGTCCATCTTTGTGAGGAACCATGTTTGAGTATGTGCAAACCCATTACACATACTAAAGAGGACAACATGACAGTGCTCATGTATTCAGCTCCTAAGCACAATTGCTGTGTGAATGAGAGATCTAGTCGCTGGTGGGATTTGCCTCATCCTTTTTAATTCTATTCCCTCCCTATCTGTCCTGGTACAGACACCTCTCCCAAGGTATAAGCATCCATTCTCAATGCACACACACAGGCAGGCTCACACACATGCACTGATGCAGACATACAAACATGCACACACACACACACACACTGCCTCTAGATAAGTGAATCAACAGATGGACAGCAGTATTGTGGGTAAGTGCTGCAGGGTGAGTGCTGCAATCTCCCGGACTGAATGGGAGCCAGTCGGAGCTGCAGCCTTCGTCGAGGCCCAGTTTTCTCTGCACTCGCTCTTAATTTGGGCCAGTCCTGACTCCTGACACAGAACCTATCCTAGGGGACCAGATCGGGCGGCCTCTTTCTTTCTGCTCAGCTGTCCTCTGCTTATTAGGTTGAGCTTTGAGCAAACCCAAGCTTCAACAACAGATATGTCCACACCCTCCCTGTAACCCCACTCCTGCTCCCGTTAGACATACATTGTCTTTGTGATGCAACCTTAGCCAGGGTTGCCACCTTATTGAAGTGGAAAGGTTGTGTTGCAGTGATCCCATGAGCCATGCCATCTATAGTGAGCTGAGCTCCAGGTATGTTCCCCCCCTTGGTGAAAGGCTTACAAGGATGTTCTAGACAGAGAATGACCTCTTCTGTTTCTGGGGCAAAGAATCCAGTCTCACTGCACCAGATCTGCCAGCATCATGCAGCTCTGCCCCTAAGACATGAGGCATCCTGTCACAATAAATGCACGTTCCTTTCTTCCACAATAAATCCCTCTTCAGAGTCTTCCCTCACATGTGTGGCTCTACAACAGGCTTGGTATTCCCAGCCACATGCATGCATTGCCATAAATAGAGCCAACCTCCAATCAATGGAAGCAGCGTCATTTATTTCCAATGGAGAGCCATGAGCTGCACTGTGTAGGAACCTCTTGTTTTCTCACACTTAATCACTTCTGGCACGTTTCAGCGGTCAGAGGCCGCGCCACATGTTGAGGTTTCTTGGGTTCATAAGGTTTAAATACTGTAGCATGTAGGGGATAGTAAATCTGATCTCCAGGAACCTTCATGTGGAGCTAGCGGCGCTGTTGATCATGATTGATCACGCAAATGTGTCAAGTAAAAATGACCCTTCCCTTGGTAGCCTGCAACCATCTTTTTCACAAACTGCTCTGAGAAAATAAATAGGAAAACAATTTGCTGTTTCACCGAGTGCTGGGGGAGAAAAACAAAATAAGTGTTGGCTCTTATCAACAACAGCCTGGATCACCTGTGAGGAGAGAAACACATTTTTGTTGTATCATTCACATTGTACTGTAACTTTCTAATTAATCTATATTTTAGTTTCAAGCTGCACCAATTTGCTACCTCGCTAATGTGTCCTGCATGTACATTTCTCACCCTTTTATATTTTAAACTCTAATTATTTTTCTTTGTGAAGGGCGAATAACAAGACCGCAGAACAAATGAGCAGACCACATAAATAAACATTTATAAACATGAAATAGCAAACAAAAAAAGCAATCAGTAGAAACATATTGACCAAGTCGAACTAAGGAATTCAACGTTTATTTGCGGTGGAAAGGAACGTCAATTGCATTGAGATTTCAGCTCAATAGTTTAAAAAAAAAAAAAAAAAAAAGCTTAAAGTTTAGACACAAAGGACTCATACCTTCATCCCTGTACCTTTACATACTGGGTTTCCTATTTGTTTTTATTCTGAAGAACTCAGAACTCAAACCGTTTCTGAAAGTTACCTCAGGCTGTATAAAAAGTTCTGGATTAACCTCTTGCAGCCTGAAAGAGCCATACTCTGTATATATATATTCCTCTACCTCACTCACGCTCCCAGAGAGGTCTCTTCATGCATTACCCCCCTCCCCTTCTTTAAATGCCTCACTGTCTCTGTCCACTCTCCTCTCCTCTAACCTCACCACTCGATTTGACCTCTCTTTTTGTATCCTGTCTTTTGCCTCAGCCATCTGCTCATCCCCCAAAGCATACACCCTCCTCAAGCGTGGCGGTATCTCTCTCCACCTGAGTGCCTCCCTCCTTCCCCTCTCACATTGTTTCCCCCGTAATATCGCCTCGCTCCATCAGCAGTGCAGAGATTCGGGTTGGACTTTGGTTACGAAAAAAATGAAGTGCAAGGTACAGTACAGTCACGAGAGACAGCTGCTGTGGAGAAATGCCCTGGCCTCATAACTCTTGGCGATTAAATAAGAATGAAATAATCACAGTGCTGTAGGTGGACATAAGATGGCCGAACTTTCTACAACTGATGAAAAAACAAATGAGTTAATTTAATTCAATGATTCTGCGAGTGTAATCTCAAATTTAATTAATGCTCATGAGTCCTCAGAAAACCATGTGCATTTGAAGTCATTAAAAGAGACTTGCATGAGGGCTGAGTGGTAAACAACACAAAGATAATTCTCTCTTATCTGCTCCTTCTCTTCTCCATTCTAATTTTCCCTTTTTTTTTGTCTTCCTCTGCAGCTAACCCTCCTCCTCCTCCTCCTCCTCCTCCTCCTCCTCCTCCTCCTCCTCCTCCTC